GATTATACCTAAGTCTCACTTTTATGTACGAATGTAACCAAGAGCTCATTGCTTGTCTTCAGCGCTATAAGGAGCTGTCTGGTACATCAGATCTGGATGCGAAAAGCAAATATGTGCACATGTGCCGTGGATTGAAGACCTATGGTGTTACTTTCTTCCTTGTAAAAGGTAATTTATTTGAAATTAGACTTTTTACAGTTACAGTTGTCTATGTCCTCTAAAGCAAAGAAACTGCAAAATTTGTCTATTTAAAATTCTGACATTCAAAAAATATATATATATAATCTAAATTATTATTGTGTTCTTTGCCGGCACTAAACATCTATCAGCTGATTATCTTAGTATAAAATTATTGTCTTAATTGCTAGAAAAATCCTATTTTCCTAATGTGCTCGTGCCATTTATTGCTATTGAAAACTCTTGTAAAGAAATTTTCTGGGAAAAAAAGCTTATGTAAAATCATCGTTTTGGACCAGATCAGAAGCAGCGGAAAACTAGCCAAGTTGTAATCACTATTTCCAGAAAATCCTCAATTATGAACCACTCATATCCGCGCTTCAATTTTTATCCACTAAACGCGGAAGATAGTTTTCCCAAGATTGGAGATAATTTGGAAAAACTTTCCGCTCCCTATAAGAATTACTCAAAACCTAAGAAGTAAGTAATCGTAACTCCATTCCTACACCTGGTGACCTCAAGAAATACTGTATCTAGGATGAAGCAACTGCTATTCCAAGCACCATGTATTTGCAGCTATGCACCGCCTCTTGTCTAACAAAGTCAAAGCGCCGGTAAAGCTGTGAATGGGAGGGTTTGAAAGATGGGCAGTTAGACTCCCTGGGGAATGTTTTCTGTCCCTCTTCTTCACTCTTCTCGTAAAAGCATCATATTGGCTGCATTGTTGAGCCAGGACGCGACGTTCAGCATTTGCAACGGCGGTGGCGGCTCTTCGTTGACATCGGGGCGCCCAAATTTCGCCATTTACTCCACGCAAACTAGATTTGGCTGGCCGACCGCGAGGTCTCTGATTAGCCTGCCAATTCAATGAGGTTCGAACTAGAGGGCGGGGTAGCCATTGCTGCTCGCTTCACTTCCCTCCATTGCTCTGCGACACGACGAGACGACCTCCACCAATTCCCGCAACTGCCACCAAATCTCGCGTGCCATACATTTATCGTTGTGCTAATGAGAATTCCCCCTCCTCCCACCATTGTTTAGTCCATTGGTCACACTTAATGCCTTCTCTGCTTAGTGCTTTGTGTACATTTCCGGAATTTTATTTCCCCTTTTCTCATTCAAATCCTCCCAATCTATCCATCTCCAACTATTACGAAGCAGTATCTCAAAACAATAGCAATCTATATTTTTCTAGAGAAATTATGTGGAAAG